AAGTGGGGCAATAAAAGGTATGATCGAGTGGAAAAATGACGNGGAGGGGGCTATATACAAGTTAGTCAAAATTGTGTGAGTAAAACGGGAAAATCTAGGGTGACACTGTATAGTTAGGCACTTAATACCTTTTGAGCAGTACTGATAAACAACATGGTACTTGCCACACCAGGAAATATTGACATATGTGGCAACACCCCTCCGGTTTTTTTTCTTCCAGTTCCACGATCCTGCCGGTAAACTTGAAAATCGTCCATTGACACTAGAGATTCATCTACGTCCTTATTCAACCAGGATTCTTGAATACAGACTGCACACGTGTTCTTATGAATTCTTGATCGGAGGACACTAGTTAAATCCGACGTTTTGGGATACAGGGACCGAGTGTTGACCAATGAGGGGACAGTCATCTTTGACAGAGGAGTGCAATTAAGGGCAACTTGCCATCCTGCACGCTTGCGTTTTTTGCTCCAGCCTGGACAGTGAGAAAATGGAGTCGCACAAACCGCTGAACCATCGAAGCATATCTTGGTACGTGAGTAACGACGGCGCATGATAGTGAGTGAAAACGTGAAAATTCCCACAATATGACGCAGAGTGTGCAAGTGTAGCACAGCCAATCGAAGGGCACGCGCGTTTTGTAAGTAAGTTTACCTTGGGGACCTGGCTGAAGATCCTGATTTCTAACCAACAGGAATACAAACCCGGCCCACATCGTCCTGGTCTTGACAAATGTCAGCGGCCTAATGAATCATCGACATATATGAGGCAACTTGAACTTTTGGTCCAGTCTAAAAGACATGATCCATCCAAATGGACACTGCAGTCAATGGATTGTAGTTTTCACACTTAACTGCCTTGCGGATCGGCTAGTGGTTAGCAAAAGGTTGTGTTTAACCTCAGAGAAATTCATTTGTTTTGGCTTGTGTATCCGTTTAGTACTATGGTCACTAGCAAATCGTGAACGGTTTTTGGTACAAATATTGCTGTGCCGTCATTTGGTTGTCCTCTCAATCTGGAATCAGGAACATGAGAAATACGTAACATTGATAAAGGAGAAGTTTTCGTAGAATAGCTAAACCAGACTGCTTTCTAGAAACCGGGAATTATTTTGTTCCCCCAACATGTAGAACCAATTGTCAAACTGTCTTTCTGGAATGGCTACCGCCGTATTCGTTTCAATCAAGGTTACATCAATCTGATTCCACGAGCGCTGACAATATTATCACCCTCTTTTGTGACCCAATGGGCTTGGATCCACGAAGAAGGGGTTGAGTTCTATGCCCAGGTATCGACCGAACTGGAGCAACACGATGAGTGCATTCGATCGTATTTCTCAAATGCCTAGCGTGCCTCGTAAAAGAAGACGAAATAACACACAAAAATATCAAAAAGTGTACGGTGAAACACACAACATTTGTTATTCCAGTTATCTACTATTTTTCATTTTAACTGTTTCACAATCTTCTTACTCTGCCCTATATTCCAATCTACACATTCCCTGTTATTGTCATTGTTGTTGTTATTATTGTTGTGGCAGTGGCACCGTGCTTGTAGATATATGCATCGTTTTGAACCTCATACCCTACACCACGCACAACATTTCAATAGAGGTATCCACTTAAATAGTCGAACGCCTTATAGACGTGCAATGTCTTGAGTTCGACGGCGGTTGGTGGTGTATCAGTTGAAAAGTAATCGAATATCCGTCGCTGATTAGGTGTTCAATGCCGACTTCATATTGGCTGCTTGCGGCTGCATTTCAAGTTAAGCGAAACGGTGACAAACCTAAATTGTGGCCTGTTCGCCCCGGTATTCCTGGATGTTGGTTCCATACAGCCGTTCACAAATGGAACCGAATCTAATCACTTTCTTCTTAGTTTGAAGTGGACGGTTTTCTTATTCTGCATTGCTGTCCTTTTAGAAAAATTCTGATGATTATGTTAAAATTTGTGCTCATGTTCCCATCAGAACATTTACACAAGTCAGAGACCCAATGTCGGGATTTTGCTTTCGTTAAAAAATTTGCCTCACGTGTATGCGGGAAGGTATTTGACGTTTTATCCGGTTTGGATATGACGATATTACAAACGCCTTCAGCCAGAAGCCGCAAAATTCAAGGTCTAATTTTGCGCTTAATGACAAATATTTTAACACTCTTCATGACGAGCGTTTGAGCAGATCGTCACTACCTATTTCTTCAATTCATTTAGGTCAAAAATATATCATCGATCGCATATTTACTTCGTAGCTTATGTGCTATTTAGAGTACTTGGATTTACCAGAATAAAGCCCGCTGTGGAACAAAATCATTCATTAAAATGAATTCAATGACACCCTGCACCAAATATATTCTACGTTTGAGCTGTAACTTTTGAACAACTACAGATTTCATCGTGACACTCAAGTTTACGCTAATGCACGCATTCATAGATGAGCTAAATGGTTCCAGGGGAGATGAAGTTTGGAATAAGTGTTCTTTGCCCACGTGTATGAATATACATGATATTGAAAACTGAAAGACGGAGCTTCTTTCCTTCCCCTTGTATGTCCTACCTATATGAATAATGGTATAAAGACAAGACATCTTTTGTAGAACTGCGCGTCACACATCAAATTAATATAATTAATTTTTTATGACAAATCGGTATCATGCAATCTTGCAAAAAAATTCAGAAGCGATTGTCAATAGTGAACGATTCATTGACCTTTCCGGAGGATGCTCACCTTCGATCCGAATGTGTTGANGGTCGTTGGTCAAACGCGAGGTGAGGAGCGATGTCTCGATAACTCGGCAAATCTGTCGAGGAATCCATACCATGCGTGTGCAAATACGACATAGCCCATGACTCGGTTGAACGGGTATCCTCCGTGAATGCGTCAGTGGTAGTTGTTCTTCTACGACGAAATACCGGACGTCTAGATCCGATAGCGGACGATGATCGTGGTCTTCTTCGCGTGTGTATGGGTCGAATAAAAGTTGGATAGACGCCGGTTTCATCTTCCATATCACGAGTGTAGGATGGAGGTGATTCGTACGCAAGAGGAGCAGGACTCTGTGGGCTGCATAGCTTACAAATAGCCGCCTGGCGTAAGTTCATGTCTTCGGCCGATTCATAACGAGGCGGAGCTATGGGAAGAGAAAATTCAGTACCAATAGAACGTTCATCAAAAGAATTCTCCCGACGTCGAGCACAACCACCTCGGATACGTTTGCACCACAGCTTGTAATCGGAAATGGTGAAGACCATGGCAAAAATCATAAGAAGTACCAGAATAACCGCTAATACGCCCAAAACTAATTCCAAATCTACTTTCCGTAGAAGTTTGGGCGTTTGACAAAGCCGTACATCGTGCGGTTCATCTAGACTGCGTTCATTTATGACCGGACAGTTGGTGTGCGTATCGCAAAGTAGACCACGCGGTATGCACAGAGTGTAGAGCTTTTCATCTAAGGGATGAAGCTCTTGACATGGAATATAGCCCTGTTGATAGAATACGTAATATTCCAGTCGGAAATTTTGTTCCACAGTGGATGTAATTTGGGGTTTTGAAGTGCGCACAAGAGCACATCGATAAACAGGGGTAATGGTGACAGAGAACCTCAACCGAAACGATTTGTATTGCGATTCATTTGCTCTGAGGGTAAGATAGAACGTTGATACACCTGTGGGTAAAGTTGTGCTATCAAACTGTTGACGCTTTATTTGACGGGACGTGTTGGAAATGGTGATCTCACTGAATGTGGATAGTCTGTACGTGTCGCGTTCATAAAAATAGAACAAGAAAGTCAAGAAAACGGGATCCCAGGTTTCAGTGGATGTAAGAACTGAGGCATGATTGAAGAATACAGAAACGGTGTCCATTGCCCGATTTGCAGATACTCGAAAATGTATTATGCAAGTGTTTGGAGACTCAGTCATCATTGTGTCCAAAATAATTCCCTCTTCTGGACTGTTCATCGTGATTGCCGCATTCTCCTGGTTAAGTAAATAAAGATATTCAGCATAATTGTTCGCACTAGGTGCTGTCAATCCAAAACATTCAGGCACGTTCAGTACGGTTGTGCGACAGCCTATTTCTCTTACGAAGAAGAAATATACAAAGAAATTGATGAAAGCTATACGCAGTGACGTTATCCGGACATATACACTCCAAAACATTTGCCATACCACTTCAAACAAGAATTTAGTTTCACCCATGACTGGTTGTAGGCGAACATTATTTCATTGATTCCTCCATTTGAATGTCACGCACTTACGTATCACGTGCACCTGAGTTTCAACTGCTTGCGACAACTTTCGTACATTGGGAAAAAATTCCCGATTACAGGAGATTTTACTCATTACACAAGTTATCGTGCTGGTGAAGATATCGATATGTTCTCGTTTGATTCTACAAGTAGTCCCATCTAAGCTCAATAGAGATATAGTGTTATTTTGCCTAATATTGTAGTAATCCGCTTCCATCTTATGCAAAGTTGAGAGGAGTCAAAAGCACATTTTATTTGGTCGATCATTTAAAAAGGTTCTATGTCAAACTAAAGAGATAAGTCGGTGGTATGCTTTTGCCGTCTTTCACAAGTTTTGACAGTTTGATTTAATTCTGTCGATAATCCGTTTTTGGACTAACGGCAACGAGGTGGATAGAGAAATACTCGAGCGAAATGCATATTTGATTGTGAAAACTGTTCAATCTTGAGAAATTACTTAGTTTCATGTGGAACTGTTCTGAATGCGCTCGTAATATCGTAATACGCTCCAAATATCAACTCCTTCCTGCGCGGACTTCCACATATCGAAACACTTTAATTCCCTACCTAGCTAGTTTAATAGTAAATCGTCAGCATATCCTCACCCACCTCAGGGAAAAACTCTCGCCCTAATTTTTTCTCTCATTTATTAAAGTGCAGAATTTCTTACACTGTATTTTTTCTGTTTAAAATTATTTTACCTATTCACTGTAAAACTCGTAAACTGCTGACAATTCACCTTTTGGGTGCATAAAGCCTTTCTTGACTTAACTTGACTGGTATGAAGGAGATAAGAAGACTAAAACTTTGTGACAGTAATTGAGTTCTCACGTTTGCTATTTTCATCACCAAGCACAGACATGATTTTTCCTAACCCCGGTTAGGCGAAGTAAACTGAAGAGATAACATGATGAAAAGATAAATCAAGAACTCGAAAACCTATCCCTCTTTTTTATGGAAATTTATTTACAATACATTCAAAGATATCTCACCTTCAGGCTAAAAGAATAGAGACGAGAATTTCACAAAAGATTACTAACATTTGGTTTTATCTGACAAAAAAAACGTGTAACAAAGGAATAGAGATTGAGGAAAATATATTATGCTTGAATGAGAGGATTGTGGATCTAAACAATGGCCATTACTTTTAATCGCACAAATTCGTGCATCGGTTTTGGTGGTCGCCTTTTGTCTAATCATGTGATCGACCAAAGAAAGAAAGAGTACGATGAAACAAGTGAAAGGCTGAAAACACTTAAAAGTCGAACATAAAGTACGCAAGTAAATTATAAATGGTAGAAAGTAGGTGCATGAAAGCTAAGGCCTAAGACACTCAATTATATCAAACACTGACTGTAACCGTTAATTGGTTTGATCAANNNCTGTATACTCATGTGACACAGACATATTGGTGAACAAATCGTTTCATTCATGAGAGACAGACACGACATTTTGCTATGGGCTTGGGCTCGAGTGCGCGGCAATATGTCCTCCGTAAAGGGATCTCCGAGACAAGCGAATGCCAGGTGGGTCTCGCGTTGACTGGAACCGTGAACGGACCGGGGTTCTCCGCGGGTTGGATCAAGTGGCAATCTGCAAGAGAGCAACAATACAAACGCCATGAACACAATGCCAAGTGAGACGATTCATGGGGAACCTGAATTTCAAATTGCCATTGCAGTAACGCCTCCACGTGGCAAACATAACATGATTACTTTTCAGTGCCCCTCAATGTGCTTTTTGCGAATATTCAATGTTGCGTATAGCCCAAAAGCAACGGATATCGGACAATTTGTTGTCTCAAAAAGGGGGGCCTTCAGGAACGTGGATAATTTAAACAGAACATAAATTTATATATTCAAACAGCGTGCGAGGTGGATACACAATCATGGGCTAGTCCAGGAGCAAAATTATATCCCTGTCTTCCTCCGTACGTGGCGAATTGTCCCAGGCATTTCCACATTAAAAACAACTGGCATTAGACCGTCTTAATAAAATTATGGTATTCCTTACCAGTAGCACATGATACCACGTTTTACATTTCCAGCTAGACGAAATGCTTGAATCGTTTAAGTCAGAAGATATTGCATCTATAAAATGTTTTTTGGTGTAGGAAGAAGTTAAATAAATTTGTATGTACGTTATATCTAAGGCATAGACAGAATCCTAGGAAACCAAGAATGCTTTCTAAGGCGTTCGAACGGATTTCTGTAATAATGGAAGTACCGACGTACGAAAGCTTTAATTTTAAGACATTCATTATGTAATTCAAGAAACATTTAACGGGGAGAATAAAACTCTACGCATTTCCTGATTGTTGTGTCCAATTCTTTCTGTACGTCTTTCTAGCTCTCTCTCTCTATATATAGCGAAGCGGGGAGGGGGGACATGTAGTACTTATCCGATAGTATGGATACAGGGACGCAAAAGGCGTGCCAACAAAGCATTCACATGTACACACTTAACTGAATAAACAAATCGCCCGACAGAAGAAAAAATACCACTGAACTGCTTAGTCACCTCGTGTGCGAAACAGATGCATTTCTGTCATGAAAATGCAGCTACCGCAACGGATCTGGGTTAGAACCTCAGTTCATTCTGAACTGTATTGGATGAAGCATTCATTCTAGGAGAAAATTTATGCTTTCATGAAGAAATAGTTATAAATAAATCTGGTTGATTTCAACAAAATAACAGAAAATTGACTGTAAGACCAATTACATCGCACATGTTTGGACCAAACTGAAATGTCTAGGGAAATGGTGATTGGAAAGTACGTGGAATATCGATATGCCAGATCGTTGGTTACCAGTTGAATTCGGTTATTGACAACACTAAGCGGTTGCTACAAAATTTCTGAGGAAAACGAATTATTATTTAGTCAACAATGGAAAAGAAAGGTCGATTGCACGTTTCTAATTGGACTGCGAATTAGGTTTCCCCTGATCAGGACTGTGCCGGACTGCCTTAGTTACTGAAAATACTGCACAAGTATCGAGACCAATGTGGACACTGGGTCACAAGTCAAAGTATCGACCAATCAACGTTCACATTGAAGTATTGTGACTCGGAGAACGAGCTCGGCGATTTGTTGATATCCGTTTTTTCTCAGTGATATTTCTATTTACCTATTGCTTTGAGTTCTTTCGATATACGAACCGTTACTTCTGTGGCCTGTTTTCTTCGCCTCTGTGACGGGAGATTCTAGTGCACGATTGCGAGTGACATTCAGTGATTCAGTTGCTACCGTGATCCATAATCTGTATTTTGTGCCGATCCACATTACTACAGTTGAAACACCACGAATGGATTCAGGTAGACCAAAGTTGTGAAGACACACGAACGCTACTCTTTACAAACAACCATATCACTCGGGGTTTCTAACCATCGATTGCACGGACCCGGAGGTCCCGAATCTGAAAAAATAACGCGACCCACACAACCGAGTCCTCTGGTCGAGGTTCTCGTGTCCGGTCCGATATTAACCAGCCTGAATCTTCTTGAACTCACCGCATGTCTCAAGAAATATCGCAATCCATGGAAACCTATTTGGTGAAATACGTATCTCATGTCCCAACCTAGGTAATCAGTGAAGGTCGATCACTTTCTCGGGTGGGCGGCCACAACTACCTGGAACAGAAGCGAGAAAGGCATTATTAACAGCGGTTTTCGAACACTGGGTCTACCTTTATCCTTTTCCGGTCTCGGCCAATCCTCTGCATCATACAGTAGCATCAGCTGAACTGCCTTTAGTAGTTGTAATAATTATAGTAGTACGCAATGAACACGAAACACGAATCACGGAATAAAAATCACGGAAAACGAATTACTGATTAGCAGTCACGGACGTCACTGGACTGCACTGACGCTTGCACGCAATATCCAACGTAACCGAGACGCGAGAAAAAAGCCTCAGGAGTAGTAGTTCGTTTACTGAAAGAAATAAGGGGGATTAAATAATATGTACAAAACAAACTCATTGGTCATCCGGGCCTTTGCCAATCACGTTTAAAAATTTCTGCCGTTGTTCTGCCTCTGTCTGGGCCGCACAGGTTCTCATTGGCTGGTACGATCATCCTATGACATGTTGTCAGCAGCTGTAGCACTCACGCACTTTGGTGACGTCACCCATGAAGCTTGATTGATCACAGTTATCCTAAAACTCTGGCGCTTCACTCCAGGGTATGCGTCATCTCGCAGGCTGGAATCACAACACTGCTGCAGTTTAGACTCGACTCTTTATGAACAACCGAATGTCTCAGCGGCCCCAGATATGTTTTCAAACACCGACTTGGGGTGAACACTTCTGCATTTAGAAACGCTGTTTGGGGAGATTCGACGAAGTCGAAATGTGAAAAGGAAACGAGGGCATAAGTATAAGCGAATATTACACAGCTTCGGGATGTGGTTTACAGGGATAAACGTATCTCAAAACAGTATCTAAGATGGTTTTCATTGGAAATGGACAGTGAAGACAAATTGTACTTGTATCCTCTTGAAAAGTAACCGAGGTTAGAAATCTTTAAATCTTCTAAAGGAACAGTTAATAAGTACCGACACATAGGAGCCATTTGACCACAGCACAATAAGTGTATGTTTTAGCAACACTAAACAGTAGTGCAACAGCAGGTTTGATATGGCTTAGGGAAAGAATAACTGATTTCTACGGCGTTTTGACAAATATATCGCCCAATCATTATGATTGAGCAT